GTTGCTGCGAAAGAGGGGAGAAGTGGAGAGAAATGCCAGGCTGAACCCACTCAGGGCACACGACAAGACTCGAGTATACCTGTGCTTCTCACTCCCCCCCAAACAAGGGGAAGAAGGGTCTAGTTTACCTGTCCACCACTTTAATTTTCCAGTCCGGGTGCTACAGCAGCTCCTGTTAAGCAGATCACCTTCAAACAGAAAGCAAAAAATTGAATTCCAAAGTTGTGTGTCACATGTAGCAGCAGTTGAATGGCAGAAGGGGGAATTGGCACCCAGCGGCGGTGGTCTTGGCTCTTGCCTGATGCCATGCTGTCGTTAGCCCTGCATTAGGGGTTTGTGTTTGCCGATGCCATTCCAAGCTCACTTGCCATCAACTCAACCTGGATAAAAGGTTCCCCAAAATGCTTTCTAAGCCTCACCCCAGACCCGCTCAGCCCAAAGGGCAGCCCCTTGTCTCACGTAGGGCTTTTCAAGCTTATACCTCAGTGAAACGCATTCCTTTCCAGCAGGATTCACCCCCCAGTTAAACAGCTTTTTCTCTGTCCCTCCTCCCTGCACAGATCAAGGATGGACGCTGGCATCGGACTCTCTTTTCATTTCGGACGCAGGACCCTCAGCAGCTGCCAATTGTCAACATCTACAACCTTCCCCCATCCGAGCCAGGAAAGCAATATCACCTCGAGGTCGGCCCCGTGTGCTTCCTTTGAACAAAGCCATCGAAACCGGGCTCCAAGGCTTTGACGCCAGGTTTGGCCTATGTCTTCACACAGGCTCTCCCACCTCTTGGCAGCAAGGACAGCTGGGCTGTATCTTTTGGGTCAACTCTTGCTCTAGCCTTTGGCTCAAGGTCTCAAAGAACCCGTGATCTACTGAACTAAGCAGATTGTTGAAAGGAGGAATAACAAGGACGTAGGGGAAGCGGGTATCAGTCGGGACGTGAACGGTGAAAAGGGATCAGGGGACTAGATGTTGCAAGCGGTTCCACACACAAAGCTTTTTCCATGACCAAAGAAAATATTGAGAGAAACCTCAAGCAACTTGCAGCGTGTGTTTTCCCTCCCTCCCCCATTTTGTCTTACCTGGTTCCTGAGTTACCAAATGTTCTTTCCATTGAAAAGTAAAAGATAGAGCTTCCCTCTCAGAGCTTGTTGCCTTCTGGATGGCCACGTGCTGCATCAGGTCTCCCAGGCGGAGCTGCAAGTTGAATCTGGCTGCTCTGTGTACCAGAAGCATTTTGATGTGCAATATTAGAAGAAACAAAATATATATATTATATTATTTAAAGCAAAAAGAAAAAGGAAAAAAAAAAAAAAAAAAAGAAACAAAAACCTAAGTTCCTCCTTCCATGGGTGAGTTTAATCAATGTCCCTTCTCTTGCGTGGTGTTGGGGTAGGGGAGAGTCCTGAAGGCAAGGGGGGAATGGAAGGAGAAGAAGGGAAGAGATTGGTGCTAAAATAGAGAGGATGGGCTCGTCTGATTTGTTTCTACCTCTCACTGTGAAATCTCTGGTGCTCTTAAAAAAGTGTGTTATTTTATATATATGACTTTAAACTATTTAAGGTTGTGAAGGTGCTACAGTGTCTTGCCACAGACCCAAAAAAAAAGCCCATAGGGCCATCTCTCTAGGAAGAGAGGCGGTTACGATCTACAGCTGAATCAGAGAAACGGTCACCTTTAAACGGATCCTTTAATCGCCGTGGATGTCAAGCGTGTGCAACAACTCAAAGCGTGTCCAAAATAACTTACAGGATATTTTAAAAGCAAATTTGCTTTTTTTTTTTTTTTTTTTTGTAATTAATCAGTAATTCACTGCTTTGGGAGGGGAGTGAGGGATACAGCTCATCTGGAAGCACTGAGCCTCAGAGAGAGCTATTTTTGAGTCGGTTGTCATGTAACTAGTTTTGCTGTAGTCGCGTTGGCCACGCGTCTGCGCCAGCTCACGCGTGCAGTGATTCCCTGGTCTAAGCTCGTATTTAAACCCCAGCTCTGCAACCCTTCTGTCTGGCCCCTCTGTCAAGACTGACATGATGGTACCTTGTTTCAGAACCCAGCCGGGCTTGGAGGGGTTTTGTTTTGTTAAGTTTTGTAGAAATTTAGTATCTATATGTAAATTTGGAGGATTTTTTTTTTTTTAAAGAAGATAATTATGGTAATCTTTAATTCTATATAAGGAATAATATTGATGTAATCGGAGCTGTACTGTATCGGAAATGCTTCAGTGCCTGTTTGGAGTTTTCATGTCTCATATGGACTATGGATTTTATTTTTTTGAGGAAAAAAAAAAATTATATGTGAGTGAGTCTCTCTTTGTGTATTCCTTTTTTTTTTTTTAACTACTGCCTGCTGGTTGGTTTCCAACAACCATCGGAAAAGGTTAACAAGATCTGTCCCAAATACCTCACCCTCCACGCAGCCCTGCCTCCGCTCAGAAATACCTCACCCCGGCACGGCCGGCTCGCCCCAGCACCCCCAGGCCAAAATCACCATCGCTCACCGCCTGCTTGTTGCCTTCCTGTGCGCACACACTCCTGCGCTCCCGGGTTTCTCCCTCTCTCATCCTCTCGCCATCGATTTTGTGTGTTTTCTTGATGCTGGAGTTACCATTTGTTCTCATTAAAGCTTTTTTCCTTTTCTTCTTTTTTTTTTTTTCCTGGAGTTTAAATAAATATTTAAAACTGAAGCAATGAAATGGGACTGGTACAGTTTTTTTCACTTCTTCAGGGTGGGTGAGAGGTGCAGAAATAGCCCACAGGTGCCAGCGTTGGTGCAAGAGCCCAGAGCCCCGCAGCGGAGCCCAACCCCAGCCCTAGCCCCTTTCTCTGGCGCCGGTCCCAGGACGCCCTGCCCAGCCCTCAGCACGATGCTGAACACAGGACAGGGCTGGGACCCCGATGGCTGCCCACCCTGTGCGTCACCCCACCAGCCCATCCCTCACCCACGTCCCCATCCTGAGACAGCACTGGGGAGCAAGAAGAAAGAAAAAAAGTAAAAATAAAAAAAAAGAAAAAAAAGAGCTGATCTTTTTCATTGCTGAAGCCTAAATCACATCTCAGTTGCTCCAAGCCGATTTTGAAACCCAGCTTCTCCTTGCTCAGGAGGTGGCCTGGCCCCAGCCCAGCTCATGGACTAAAACCACGGCTGTCTCTGCTGGCACAGGCAGCGCTCACGCTGGGGACAGCAGGGAAGCCCCCGTGGCCTCCAGCCGGGGAGGGGGACACAGGGGTGACCCCCCCACACCCCGTCACGGGAGCGGCTTCGGCTGGTCCCGGGTTGCGTCAGGGGCTGCGCCGTGTTTGCTCACCCCGTGCCGTGCCCGTTCCCGGCAGTGCTCCCGCGGCCGGAGGGGCCAAGGGACCCCCCCCCCAGGCACGGTGACGGCGCCAGGTCCGCTTTGGCAGCGCGTTTAAAACCGGCTCGGTGGGGGCTGACCGTCTCTCACGTGAGCCAGCCATTCCTGAAACACATTGCTTGCGGTCAGGGAAAAAGCAAACATTTAATAAATAAATCAATGCACTTAATTATGAGGGCAAAGTTGGAGGAGATGTAAGACATTGTTAAACAGAGAGATTCTGGTTGTTCCCCTGCCTTGTGCACCCCTCCACCCCCAGCCGGGATTTATTAAACAAGTCTCTATCTCTACCAGTTATTTTAGATTACTTAAAATAATCAGCTGTGTCTGTTACCAGCATTCTCAGGCCAAAGGCCACTTTGTCACTGCAAGGCTGGGCTGAGACAGGCAGCACGCACAGCAAAGCCACCTGCCCGCAGCAGGGAGCTCAGCTGGACAGGGCAAAACCCAGCAGCGGCCGCGGCGTCGGGATCCCACCAGGCTGCTGGGGGCGGCTCGGGAGAGCAGCACCGCTGCGGCGGGGAAGGGGGCGTTGGGGCTTGGTTTTGTTTTTAAATGGTGCAGCTTACCATAGAATCACAGAACGGTTTGGGTGGAAGGGACCTTTCAAGGCCATCCAGTCCAACCCCCCTGCAGCGAGCAGGGACATCTTCAACCAGATCAGGTTGCTCAGAGCCCCGTCCAGCCTGACCTTGAATGTTGCCAGGGATGGGGCATCTACCACCTCTCTGGGCAACCTGTGCCAGGGTTTCACCACCCTCATCGTAAAAAATTTCTTCCTTATATTTAGTCTGAGTCTCCCCTCTTTTAGTTTAAAACCATTGCCCCTTGTCCTATCGCAACAGGCCCTGCTAAAAAAAATCTGTCCCCACCTTGCCTATAAGTACCAAAAGGCCGCAGTAAGGTCTGCCTGGAGCCTTCTCTTCTCCAGGCTGAACAGCCCCAGCCCTCCCAGCCTGTGCTCACAGGAGAGGTGCTCCACCCTCGGATCATTTCAGTGGCCTCCTCTGCACCCGCTCCAACGGGGCCATGTCTTTCTCGCATTGAGGACTCCCAGCCTGTACGGGGCCTAATCCTGCTGTGCACACCGAGCTGCAGAGCCCCGTCCCCAACAGCACCCACGCGCTTCCCACCCCGATTCCCCCTCCCCAAGACCAGACCTGAACCCCAGCACCAGCCCCGCGCCCCAGCGAGAAGCGACGCCGGTGCAGACCCGCGGGAAGCCCTCACAGCCCGCAGGCGAGCAGCCAGCCCCCAACCATCGCCACGGGCATTGTTTGCCCTGGGGAGGAAAGCCACGTCCGGGGCCACGCGGTGCCCCCGGGGCCTCCAAACACACCTGGAGCCAGCCGAGTCCTTTGCCAGGCACTCACAAAATTAATTGCTGCTTCCGAGAACAAAAGCCTGTATTGGTGCAATGTGGGGTTGGGGCTTTTTTTGGTTTTTTTGGTCATCTTTTCTGCTGGAGCAATCCAAGCTTTTGCAAGCGTAACTTTCTCCAGCTACTATTGCTTCATGCCTGAGCAAACAGCCAGCGGCTAAACAAGCACATCGGGACTGGGGACATCCAGCTTTGCGGGCGGCCGTATATAAGGGATGGAGCTAAGCCACGTCCCGTCAGAGCAGGACCCTCCTCTCGGCCGGCCAGGCGATGCTGGCCTCCCTCGCCCTCCTCCTGGGGCTGCCGCTCGCCCTTGCCACCGAGCCCCCCAGCTGCGCCCCGCTCGTCCCGGTCACCTTCGACGATGCCACAGTGCCTAGGGTAAGCCCTGCCCTCAGCCGGGGCGCCCGTCCTTGCCTTTCCTATCAGCAATGCTCACAGTTACGGGTCCAGAAGAGGTTATGAACCCAGTCGGCAGCTTGACTCTTATCTCACTGCCTGTCCGTGCTTATTTTCCTAAAAAAATCAAGACTGGTGCACAGGAGCATGGGGACGGGGTGAAGCCCTGCAGCTCTGCACCCATAAACTCATGGGCAGGCGCTTTTGGAGAGCTCCTGCTTCCATCTCCCTGTGCAAACCAGGCTGAGCAGCACCGTCCCCAGCGCTTTGCTGCTCAGGGCACAGCATCTGCTATTACTCACGTGGTGCTCGCGGGTCAACCTGGCACAGACCCCGACCCTTCCCTGCTCCTCTCCGCAGCTCCTGGGACAGTGGACCTACATCGCTGGCGCCTCCAGGTACCCACCTCACCTGGAGGAGCTGAAGGCAGTGAAACACGCGGTTTTTTCCTTCTTTCCCGGCAGCCACGAGGACGAGCTCAATGTCACCGAATCCATGAGACTGTAAGGATGGGGATTCGCCCCCCTCACCTGGCTCCCCCGTCCCCAGGGGCATTTCCACCCACTGGTACCATCCTCCAGGCTGACACACCCCCACAGAGTTGGGGCTGGAGAGCAGCTATGCCAAATTTCTTCAAGCTCTGCAGCCCGGCTCAAGTTCAGAATCCCTTGGGTTTGGTTGGGGCAGCCTGGGGGGTACTTGCCCCATCTGACCTCTCTGCCCCGCAGGAACGAGACGTGTGTGATGAGGAACAACAGCAAGATCCACGTCTTTCGGCACAACTCCACCCTGGTGCACGGTGGGGGGGAGGGCGCCACACTTTGCACCCTCCCGCTTTTGCCCCTCGGTATTTGGCACCCTGACGCCCTGGCACCAGGCCCTTTTACACCTAAAAACATGTCTGGAGGTGGGGGGAAAAGGTTTCCCCCGGCCCATGCAATGGGTACAGCAGTACTGTGAGACCCAGCCAGGCCCCACTGGGACGAGCTCCGTGGGGTAAAGGGGGTGAGCAGCCCCCGCCACGCTGCCAGCTCTGCCCAGGCCGAGCCCCAGCATGGGGCGACACTCGCCAACAGGGGACCCTGCTCTCCCCGTGCCTTCCAGTTGATGACCAGGTGTTTTCCATGGCCGAATTGATCCAAAGCGACAAGGACCTGCTGATCCTGAAGCACTTCAACACCACCATCCTGGGTCTGAGCCTCTCGGGTGAGTGGATGCTGCCCTGGACCCGTGGGGCACATCCCTGCCCGGGGACGCATCGATGGGCACAGGCATACCCAGCCCTCACGGGCAGGGCAAAAACCCCCTTTTCCCCCCCAATAGGCAGAGGGGAAAGATGGGGGCGGGCAGGCAGCAAGCTCCCCATCCACACCACAGCAACCACCAAGGAGCAAAGCACCCCGTAAAACTCCCTTTTCTTTTCCCCCTTCTCCTTTTACTGCCCCATTTCTCCGGCAGCGCGAACACCCAACGTTAGCAAGGAGCACCTGGAGGAGTTCAAAGCCCACTTGCACTGCCTGGGCTTCACCGAGGACGATGTGTTCTTCACGTCCGAAAAGGTCTGAACCCCTCCCCAGGGTGGGCGAACGCCAGCCCGGGCCAGCTCCTGCCACCAGCTGGGACGGGGGTCCCAGGGGGGACGTCAGATTGGTTCCCCCGCTGCAGCCCCTCTCCTCCCCGGTCATTCCTGGCTCTTGGGGCAGTTTTGGGGCAAGGGGGCACCGACAGACGCTCTGCCCCTCTCCTGCAGGAAGCCTGTCCCCTGCCCAGGGAGAAGACAGGCGAAGGCGATGCTGAGCCGCAGCTGTTGTAACCCCCGTGGGCTGGGTCGGCCGCTCCATCCTCATCCTCCTCCAGCCCCTCCGTGGGGACGTCCCGGCCAGGTTCGGCTCAGCCTCAGGACTTTCTATCGAGGTTTCATTTTTCCCTCCCAGATGAAATGTGCCATTTCCCTGTTCTCACCTGGACCCAAAATAAACCCCTGTGTTACAACCACCTACCGCTCCTGCTGCATCTTCACCAGGACTGCGGGCAGGACCCCCTCCTGCCTGCCCTGTCCACGATGCCGCATCTCCGAACCTGCTCAGAGGCATGAAAAGCCCTGGACAAAACCCCGCCGGGGCCGAGTGTGGCAGCCATCGTCCCCTCCAGCCACAGGGCATTGGGATGCCAGCACCCACCCGTCATCACTGATCCCATGGAGACAGATACTCACAAACCCACCGACCCCTTTGGGCTTCCTCCACCGTGACTCAAATCAAGGCAGTTTTAGCACCCAAACATCCCACCTTGAATTTTCAAGTCAAATCCCATGAGGCTCTGCCTGCGCTGGGTGCTTGCACAGGGGTCACAGCGGGTTGGGGTGACATCGCGCCTTCCCTGGGTGTCTCTGAGCAGGGGAAGGGGAGAGGACAGGAAAAACCATCACCCAGGGCCAGACCGAGGGACTTGGGCATGCTCTGCTACCGGCAAGGAGAAGGCAAACAGAAATAAAGCCAGCAAAGAAGGTCCTGCCCTGCCCGGTGGCACAGGGACAGGAGTGGGATGGGGGGGGTGAGGGAGCCACCACCGGGGACGCGTCCGGCAGAACCAGGGTGACCTCCTGGGGCCCTTTCTGCCCCATTTTTATGGCCTGTTTTGGCAAGGAGGGGGAAAACACCTTCCTGCCCAGGAAGAAGGGGGCTCTTTGAAGCCCCCCAGGCTTCCCCCAAGGTGGAGGGCGGCTGCCCCCCAGCCAGCGCCGGGGTGGGGGCTGCACGGTGCCTCATCGGCAGAGCAAGAGGGGACTACGGTGGCTGCTCACGGGGAACAACACAGGCAAATTTAGGGCAGATTTTAGTTTTAAATGCAGCAAGTGCATTGCCCCCATCGTCTCCAGTCACATCGACAGCCCGCAGCTATTGACACTCACTGATGGCAGCCACAACCGAGGCCAGGGCAAGCGCAGAGCTCGGTGCCAGGCACACGGCTCTTGCCTGGGCAATGTCCCCAAAAGGGGCTGGTTGCGTCACTGGTACAGAGGCAGCAGCCCCCGGCACGTCCCGTCCCGCCCCGCAGGGCCGCAAAAGCAAACGGCCGAGTGAGCGCGTCCGTCCGTCCAGGCCTTCGCTCGCTCCTCGCTTGCAGGCAGACCAGGGCGCGGCCGGGGGAGCTGGCGTGC